CCCACTGTCCTGAGCAGTGATCCTGGTGAGGTTGCAGGAGCCACGGACGTGTGCATCTCTCCTGCATTTGTCCTCTCCGTGAGTCGTGTCTCCCACGCTTCGATCAGTCGGGAAGTGAAAGCGGGGAGGCATGGGGCAGCATGTGGGGATGTGTGACACCCACAGCGGGGGGGGCAGTCACGGTGGTGCAGGTGGGTGCTTTGCCCACATCTCATCTGCTGCACAGACTGGCCTTTGGCAGCATGGGTGCCCGCCAGCTGACTGACACCCACCTAAAACCACTCGTCGTCATCGTGCCGAGCGAAGGTGTGCTGGAAGGATGCTGCGTGCCTCCCTGTGTTACGCAATGGGAGAAATCCCACCCAGGCGTTTCCACAGCAAAAATGTTTGGGTTTATGTTACTGATTTGTTAAACCACTGCTGCTTGTAGTCGCACCCCTGCCCAGCTTCTGGGAGTTTCCCCAGGGGCTGGTGTGAGTGTGGCTGGGGCCACCTGACCCTTGGGCACAAGTGACACGGAGTCGTTTGTAAACCGTGTTAATATTTTATAGCTTTTATATTTAGGGAGTTAATGACTCTAAACAAAGCAGATTTTAATCTAATCAGCTTCTCCTCGTGCCACATCAATCCTGGACATCAAAGCAAACATCAAAGTGAGAGGCTTGAAAGGCTTCGAAGGCAGCGCCAACTGCTTCACCCAGGTGCATCTCAGAGAGCTTCCTCGTGCCTGCTTCTGCTCCAGCCTGGTTTTTGAGGCTCCTCTCAGTTATCTTGGATCTAAAGGATGTTGTCCCAGTAAAGAAAACAAGACTAACGTAAGAACAGCCCTCAGGAACAAAGCAAAAGGCTATTTAAACTTTTTGCGTCTTTTGCCTAGATGGCAGCGAAGCCAGGTGCTTCAAAGACAGGCAGGAGCTTGTGACAGCGTGAGGCATCTGATGAGTGGCTGCAGAGGCTATTGAGGACCTTCTTGCACCAATCCTTATTTTTAAATTATTTTCCTGTTGTTGGTCAGACTCTGAAACAAATCCTGTTATCCTGTTCTTGTCCTTTTTTTTTTTTTTCCTCTTTTTTTTTTTCTTTGTGTTTGCTGGCCAGAGAGAACCTGTGGATAAACTGGGGAGGTGAGAGGTGCTCTGCTCCCTATGCTGGGGTTGTACATGCATCCAGGAGCATCGGGCTGTTACGGCGAGGCAGCTGCTCTACCTGGAGTGTCCCAGCAAAGCAAGGGACCGACCCTGATTCAAAGGCAGTTTGTAAGATTTTTTTTTCAAGCACGAGTGCCCAAAACGGATGGGCGGGGAGCTGCCTGTGGCCGCAGTGATGGAGATGGGGTGGTGTTATGTCTGTGCAGTGGAAGCCCCCTCCTCCTGCCAGGGTTGGAGCGTGGTGCAGGGGGCCTGGCAGATCCGGCTAGCGGCAGGGGATGGCTGCTGCGGACGGAGTGTGCGAGAGCTCCCGGGCACACGGCCAGGAGCGCTTCCTCCCCACTGCTTTCCCATGGCCGAGATGGGCTCCAAGGCTTGAGAAAAGCACCAGGGGCCGCAGAGAGGAAGCTGTTGGGAGCTCTTGTGCTCCGCAGCTTTTTTGGAAGCAGCTGCTTTTCCACCATGTCTCTTGGGGGGGGGAATTAAAAAATGTGTGTATAGATATGTGCAGGGCTGCATTTGGGCAGGCCTTGATAAGGTTGCTGCAACATTAACATATCTAAATATCCAATTGCTTAATTTTATAAGCCCCTTGAGCTGATGCAGGGAAGAGCTCAGAATCTCCTCCAGGCACTTGCAAATCCTATTTCAGGCAATTAGGAAGAGATAGTGCGATAGACAGGGACTGGTGCGGGCAAGTCCCAGCAGGGCACCTGGGTGATTTGCCGTTTGCAGGCGCTGGAAGCAGCCATCCGCCCGGGGCAGGCAGGCAGAGGCCCCTGCCATGGTTGGGGACGACTGCCAGCACCGCTTACAGGGGAGGCTGGAGCTGGCCCCAGAGCACTGGGATTGCTCGAGGCTCCGAAGCTGCTTGGCGGGAGGAGGTGAATTGGAAAATACCTGCAAAAGGTGGGACTGCTCCTGCCCTGCCAGCTCCTGGGGTGCTGAGCCACAGGCACTGCCTGGCCCTGCTGCCACCTCCCTGCCCACCCAGGGGGATTTCTTGGGGCTTTCTGCAGCCAGACCCTCTCCTACTTCTGCTGATTCATCCCATCCACGCTCCGATTACAGCTGCTTTTGATAGTATTTTTCCTCCTCTTCCCAAACTGGAGCCCATGCACCCTGACAATGAGTGGAAACTGGGGGTGGAAACTTGTCTGGGTTGGGCACTGTGGTGTTTTTCATTGGGTTGGCTCCTGCAGCAGCACTGGGCTGAGGGGGTTCTTGCTGGGCTGTGACAGAATGGGACTTTGTCTGTTATACGGGTATGGGTATCACAGTGGGCATCCCTCAGAGCCTGACTCACTGGAGCTGAAGGAGACCTGGAGGCACCATGTGTGCGCTGGCTGTTGGGCATGATCTGGAGCATGGGTGAGAAAGGAGAGGCTGAATTCGATCCTGTGTTGCTGTGTGCCATTGGCTGCTGCCCTTTGCTTTGGGGTGGCGTGGGGTAGGGCTGGGAAAGCTGCGGTATGGCAGGGAGAGGCTCTGCTCCTGAGCTCTGAGGCATCTCTGGTGGGAGAAACCCATGTGCAGGTGCAGAAGGGCTGTGCTGCCAGCCCAGCAAGCAGTGGGACAGGCAGTCCTCCTCAAACAGGGCCCGCTCTTGTCTCCTGATGCTCCTAATGGAAGGGAACAATAATGGACTGAAATTCTGCTACTCAGACCTTGACTTTGGGTGGCTGTTTGGTGTCTGTAGGCAGCAGAGCAATGCTTAGCTCTCAGACCTGTCCCAATGTCTATCACACAAAGCCTGAACTCATCAGTTGATAGGAGTGGGAGCCAGTAACACTCAGTGCAGTGCTTCTTGCAAGTGAACAAAGTGAAAAATGCTCTGTCAGTTGGTGGGGTATTGCTGGGCCTGTAGCTGAATTTGTGACCCACGACCTGTCACTGATAATGGCTGCTGGTCTGTGACGGGACAGAGGCGGTGACATGCAGTGGGGATGAAACAATCAAAGAAGCCAGTGCAGTTGGATCTGGGGGATGACAGTGTGCCGTTTCCCCTGAGTGATTGTTCCTGCTGTTTGTCTCTTCCTGCCTTTGACTTAATTAGAAAGCAAAGCCTCACTCCTGGTGAAGGCTGCTGGGATGTGGGCTGAAGAGAGGAAGGCACTTTGGCTGGGTCTTTGGGCTTGAAAAAAAAAAATCCTGGCGTCCCTTGTTCCAGGATGGCAGCTAGCGGGCAGTAACACCCAGTTTCACCTCTCCTGCCTCTGGTGTACCAGCATCAAAGTCCCAAGCCATTTTCCTTGTAGGCATCCCCCTTGCCAGAGGCCATCTTGTCATGAATTTGGAAAGAAATCCCCAGCCTTCTCCTTCTGTACTTCCTCGTCTGGGAGCTCCTTCTGCCCAGATCCAATGCTTCCTCCAGTGCAGGACATCCTCACAGAGGGCTCAGCTCTTGCCATCATCTCCCATCTCTGAGCCTTGTGTGGCCAGACCCTGCCCTGCTCCCCCTTACTGGATAATTAAACTCTCTCCCTTGCAGGAGATATTTCCAGCCAGTGTCAACCCAGAGCAGCGGCACACTAATTCGGAGCAGAGAGTAGCTCTTCAAGTGCTTCCCTCCACCAGGTCCCCGCAGGGAAGCAGCGGGGCTGATTAATTGATTGCTGGTTTGCTTCCAGTGCAGAGCAGAGCTCAAGTCAGTGGGGCTGCTGTGAAGCCCACCCTGTCCCCCTCCTCAGTAATTAAAGCCCGTGTGTGGCTGTGGTGAGAATTGTGCGGTTTCTCTTCTTGGCTTTTTTTTTTTTTTTTTTTTTTTTTCCAGAGACCTGCCAGAGGCCAGCGTGAGGTCTGGGGGTGGGTTTGCACCCTGTGCCCACTGCAGTTTCAATGGGGCTTTCATTAAGATGGGGGTGTCAGCGTGCTGTGCCAGTGCCTTGCTGCTTGCTTGTCCTCCAGCCCGGGTGGAGAATTGTCCTGTAGCCTGGGTGGAGAGGGAGCTCAGTGGCTGCTGGGTCTGTGGAAGGGACAGCATTTGGGAGTGGGTTGTGTCACTGGCGGAGGCAGTCCGGGGCTTGTGGGGCAACCTGGTGCTCTGCAAAACTGGAGCTTGGAAACAGTGCAGCAGCATGTTAGGTCACTTGCAGAGAGCCCGTTTCCAGCCTCACACAGCGGAGATGATCTAAAAATATGAGCTTGTTTGCCTCCAGCTGGAGTTGATTTGGGCATCCCTGGTTGTTGCTGGAGTGCAGCAGAGGACAGCTGAGAGATGGAAGTTTGCAGACTGTAATTTCGCTGCTCTTCCTTCCCCGCCCCGCTCCTAAAAGGCGATGGCTGGGAGAAACACAGAGCAGGAGGATGGTACATTAGCGCTCCTGACCCACTTTGCTCAGAGTTTCCAGGACGTGATTCACCTTTTCCCCTTCACCAAAAGGAAACAGGACTGTGTAGCTGCTAGAGGGGATATTTAGAGGTTTATCTTTGCTGTGCAGCAGCACATGGGAAACCAGCATGGCCCCCTGCTTCTGTCTTGGGCAGTGCCTCACTAAAAGAAACATGAAATCATGTGGTTTCTCCTGTTTTTGTCTTCACCCTTGCTGTCCAAGTCCTATTCCCTGGCTAGGCTGGAAAGTGATGGAGATGACCTTACTGCTGCTCATTCTCCCCTCTCCTGTCCCACAGCACCTCTGGGTGCTGGTTTGAGCTGGTGGCTCGGCTCAGATGGACGGTATGGTGAGACACGTCAGCCATGCCGATGTGCTTTCCTGAGCCTGGCTGGGCTGTCAGAACAGTGTTGGGGTGTTGCAGAGGTGATGCATCTGACTCCCCTGGGTGCCTGTTTCTGGTGGAGAGGAGCTGCCTAGGAGAGCTGCTTTCTCATGTCTCTACTCTCCTCTCTCCCAGGTACCAGACCACCTTCCCTGGTTTTTGATGCTGAATCAGGATCGTTTTAACTAAAGATGGAAACACTGGAGTCAGAATTGACCTGCCCAATCTGCCTGGAGTTATTTGAAGACCCTCTCTTGCTGCCGTGTGCCCACAGTCTCTGCTTCAGCTGTGCCCACCGCATCCTGGTGTCCAGCTGCTCCTCCAGCGAGTCCATCGAGCCCATCACTGCCTTCCAGTGCCCCACGTGTCGCTATGTCATCTCCCTCAACCACCGGGGCCTGGAGGGCCTCAAGAGGAATGTGACCCTTCAAAACATCATCGACCGCTTCCAGAAGGCATCCCTGAGCGGCCCCAACTCCCCCAGCGAAAGCCGCCGCGAGAGGACGTATCGCAACAGCCCTACCATGTCCGTGGCCGGCGAGAGGATCGCCTGTCAGTTCTGCGAGCAGGATCCCCCGCGGGACGCGGTGAAGACGTGCATCACCTGCGAGGTGTCCTACTGCGACCGCTGCCTGCGGGCCACCCACCCCAACAAGAAGCCCTTCACCAGCCACCGTCTGGTGGAACCCGTGCCTGACGCGCACTTCCGAGGACTCACGTGCTTGGAGCACGAGAACGAGAAGGTGAACATGTACTGTGTTGCTGATGACCAGCTCATCTGTGCCTTATGTAAACTGGTGGGCCGCCACAGGGACCACCAAGTGGCATCCCTCAGTGATCGTTTTGAAAAGCTGAAGGTAAGCACCCAGCAAGGTCATCTGTAGGGGCTGGTGTTTGCTGAGGGATGGTTGTTAGAGCAGAAGCTGGTTCCAGATGCCCAAGCGGCACCTCTTATTTAAGCCAAATAACTCCTGAAGGACATGTGGGTTGCAGGATGCAGCTTATGGGCTCCTCCAGGACTCTGGTACCAGGAGGCTGAGTTGGATCTGGCTTGCACAATTAGAGCAAAGTCTTTCCTATTTTATTTTTCTTCTTCCGGTGTGTGTGCTCCCCAAGGCATTGGACCTTCTTCCCAAACAGCTGGAAATGAAACATCATCGTGCACCAAAGTATCCTGTGGCTGTTTCCCCAGGAGTGTGGCTTTCCCTCTGGGGTTTGTGCTGTCCTGTGAGAGAGCTGGGGTGGCAAAGATTGGCTTGGGGGACCTATGAGCATGATCCCCTGAGGCTGCTGTGCTCAGGCTGTGTCTGATCAGCCCTCTCAGAGGATGGGAGCAGGACAGGTTGGGCTGTGGGTATTTCCTTTTGGAAAGCCACTTTGCAGGCTTGCAGGCTGCAGTGTGTGGGAACCCTCTTATTGTCCATAAAACCTCCCCTGCAGGGCTTGCCCGTACCTGAGGATGCTGTGCCCCGAGAAGTGCTTTGAGGAGTGCTTTCATGTTCTTGAGCCAGCTTGCTCAAAGCTTCTTTGCTGTGAGAGAGGAGAGGGCCAGGCTCTGGGAGATAATGGGTGATTGAATGGGTTGGGAGCAGCCCTTTTGGAGAAGGACTTGGGGATATTGGTGGGTGGAAGACTGGACCTCAGCTGGCCATGTATGCTCACAGCCCAGAAAGCCAACTGTGCTTCACTGGGCTCACAGTATGGCCAGGAGGTCGAGGGAGGGTTTTCTCCCACTGTACTCCATTGAGACCCTGCCCCCCCGGAGCACTGCGTCCAGCTCTGGGGTCCCCAGCACGGGAGGACATGGACCTGTTGGAGCGGGTCCTGAGGAGGCCGCAGGAATGGTCCGAGGGCTGAGCCCCTCTGCTAGGAAGAAAGGCTGAGAGCTGGGGTTGTTCAGCCTGGAGAAGAGAAGGCTCCGGGGAGACCTTATTGCTGCCTTTTGATATATAAAGGGGACTCCTAGGAAAGATGGAGAGAAATTTTTTTACCCAGGCCTGTAGTGACAGGACAAGGGGCAACAGTTTTAAACTCAACAAGGGTAGAGTTAGGTTGGACATAAGGAGGAAATCCATTTATGATGAGGGTGATGAGACACAGGCACAGGTTTCCCAGAGAAGCTGTGGCTGCCCCCTCCCTGGAAGTGTTCAAGGTTGTGTTGAATGTGGCTTTGAGCAACCTCATCTGGTGAAAGATGTCCCTGCCCATGGCAGGAGGGTTGGACTTAGACTGGGTTTGAAGGTCCCTTCCATTCTGTGAAGCAATGATGGAGCTCATCTCTGCTTCCCAAGTGCCCCACACTCCTCTGTCTTTTGTCCTCTCGTGGGATCTCAGCACTTCAGCTCTTTGCAGATGCCATCCCTTGAGGGACTGGCCTGAGCTATCCTCTGTGTCTCGCAGAGGGACCATGCCAAGGGAGGGTGCTGTCTTGCAGAGAAGGTGGCTGGAGGCTGACCAGGACTTGGAAGCTTCTGAAGATCCCTGATATAGTCCTGTTGCCTGGGGTCTCCCTTCTACCTGCTTTCTGCCACAACCAGCATTTCCAGCAGTGGGGAGCATCTTCTCTGTGACAACCCATGTTTTCTGTCCTAATTTCCCCTGAGCTGAAGTGGCATAAATGGGCAATCATTCTCTCCAGCCCCCCTCACTTGTAGCACGTTATTGATCCGAACCGAATTGCTGTTCTGCTGCTCTTCAGGTAGGAGAGAGTAAACTTCCCAGGGATCCCTCTGGAGTACTTTGAAGCTTAATTTTTATGCAGTGGCTGTGGTTGTACTGAATATTATGTGAACCTGTATGGATGATGTTTGACCTATATAAAGTTAGAAATCCTTTTCCATCCCCTGTGCATTCCGTATGAGTCTGCAAAATGCTTTTAATTCCTCCTTTTTTTTAATATTAAAAAAAATATAGCTGGTCCCATTAGAGGTCACACTGGTGAGGCTGTAACTATGGCAGCAGTCATATTCCCATTATAACCCTTCTCGTGTTTCCAGCTGCTTCTTCCTCGGTTCTTTCTTCCTTAATGTTCTGAGCTTGTTCTGACCCAAAAGTGCTTTTCTTGGCTCTTTGTCTTGTTAATGTTTTGTACAAAATCGATCTGTCTGCTCTTGTTTTTTTTTTAAGGGCAGAAGAAATACTTCTATCACTGTATCAAAAACACAGAATACTTTTTTTATGTTCAGGCCAAATTAATTTTTCCTTTTTTTAAAAAAAAAAAACCCACAACTGATGCTGGAACTCTTTCTAGATGTCCAGTTTCCTGGGCTGTTTTCCCACCTGCCTTTCTCCAAAATCTTCCAAACCCCATGTGATGCGCCCAGTGATGTGACTTAAACATCTGCGGCAGCAGAAAGAACATGCTGTAGGATGTCCTGTACTTTATTTCTGTCTTCCGCCGTGTTCCAGCCACGAGGTCTGTCTTTTGGTAGGTGCTGCCAAATAGTATCGGTGCTGGTGTATGCCTGCAAAGTGTCTGGAGTTCGTGGTGGCTGATATTTACCTTTAGACCTTGATATGCCTATCTCATCTTCCCATCACGCTTCACCTAAGCTTCCCCCTGTGTGCGGAGCAGCGCCAGCAGCCTGGTCCTTAGTCCAGGACATTCTTTTTCCATGAGGAAATGTCTCAATTAGCAAATTGGAAACCTTAGAAAGAAATGACTATGTATGTTTGCACACAGTAAACTTGGGGATAGAAATTAAAACCCTTCCAATATTTCCCCCTATCCAGCCCATGTCATCTAGCCAGGCACATTCATCTGATGACAAAAACCCCTGACAACCTAAATTGCTTCTGTGACCAGCCAAATTTTTCAGGTTGCCAGAACACCTTTTTTTTTTTTTTTTTTTTTAAACTTTTAAATAACAGTTTTAAGTCATTTTGTATGAGGAGGGAGGAAGCTCTCCTCTGCTAGAAACATTCTTTCTGTGCTATTCATCCTGCCCAGCTCCCTGATCAACTGCAGGAGCTGTAGCTGAATGGGAGAGCAGGGGAGAGGGCAGCGGTGGCAGATGTGGCTTTCCTCCTAGGCACGACTCCTACGTGGAGGGGACAGCAATTATGTGTCTGTAATCCCTGTCTCTGGCTCTGCATCAGTTGAGCTTTTTTTGGATGGCTTTTTTCTTAAAGCTCTACCTCCACTGCAGGAATTGCATGGAATCGATGCTGAGCTTTACCAGCAGAGTCAATATTTGAATTAGTGTTTTGTGTCATCTTCCTTGTACAGTCTCAGTCAATAGTTCTGACCACAATGTGCTCTCTGGCAATACTTGAAATCCTTGCAGTACTGGTACCTGAAATACTTGAAATCATTAAAAAAGCCCTGGGATGGGAGCTCTGGTGGGATGCTGCCACTCAGGAATCTGCGCAGGGCTGATGGAGCTAGCTGCTCCCTCCACAGCCGCCTGACCCCTAGGCCTGCCCAAAGTCCCCGTGTCCTCACAGCAGGCATCTGTCCCCTCCTTTCTCTCTAAGTCATTAATGAGTGAGTTACGTTGCAGCCAGCCTGCTCTTGAAGATCTGTGGTACGCTTGGGCATTGAGCAGTGAGCAGTTGCTCTTAATCTCTAGCTTTGATCTTGTCGCTAGAGTGAGCTGGAAACGCCTTTCAAGTTGTTTTTTTTGATGGAAAATAAGGTTTTAAACCGAGTAACTTCATTTTGTCAAAAGGCCTGTGCATTCCACAAAAATCTTTGGCGGGAATTTTTTTTTTCCCCTCTTAGAAGAGCTGAATACCTGAAAAGCATACTGTTGTGTCTAAATCCTGAACCATCTTCCAGTGCTCCCCTTCTCCTCTGAGCTTGTTTTACATCAGAAATCTCTAGTGCACTGTGCCTTTCCATAGAGGCTCTGTAACAATCTGTCCATACCATATTACACACCTCAAGGTGTTCTAGGAAGCGTCTTTAATCCCTTTAATGCCTATTATGGCTTTTTATTTTGTGCATTTTCAACTCCCCTTGTTTATATTATAAAAAAAGTCAGTAGGTGTGAGCAGTTTTCCTAAGTTGCACTAAATCCAAGTCATGAACGTTGCTGGTTCCTGCTGCAGTATGACCCGTGGTGCTGAGACCCCTGCTGAAATATTCATGTGTAATCATGAGCTGACAGACACTTCTCTTCAACTAGAAGTGCTTACCTCGTGCTGCTGCCTTTTATTCTTTTACAGCTACGCTGGGTAGAGGAAGAACTGTTTCTTCTCTTCTCCCTCGCCCAGCAAGGTGGCATTCACATTAACATTTATCCTGGTAAGAGAGTGCAACCAGAGCCTTGAGCAGAGGGCATGTGCTGGGCTCTTTAGGCAGAGATGGGCATGCTGCTGGTTGAGGGTTCATTTGATGACATAATTAAATCTGTGCAGAGCGGGTGGAACCAGCACCCACTCAGCTTTGAGATGGAACCTGTCCAGCTAAGAGAAGAACCGTGTGGTGCCTTCAGAAAGTGGAATTAACCTAACATTGCCTGTTGAAGGCAACTTCTGATCTCTTGTCCTTTTGCAGCTCACCTTAAAGGTATTTGGCTGCACAAACCCCACCTGCATCAAGTCTCAGAGGTCTTGGGGTGCCATCTGAGTTTGTCTTTTGGGGTGTGTACTGCTTGGCATGTCCTTGCTCAGTCTTGGATGACCAATGTTGCCGTATTGCGCAGCCCTTCTGGCAGTGAAGCATCTGCTGGCAGCACAGGCTGGGCTTGCTCGTTGACAGCATTGGCCTCTGCTTCCCCAGCACGAGGGCAGCGTGGGCACTCCTGATGCATGAGCTTGGCTGCGAGTAGTCAGAGTGCATCAGGACTTCGGTGCTTGTTTTCCTTCTCTGCATGTTCAAGAAGGGTCAAGATGTTTGACACAATCAGTGGCG